CCGACGCTTGCCAACGTTTACCAACGTTGGGCCAACGTCGCTTTGCTAGCTGGGGTATTTTCATAGGCTGCATAGGCCAGCCCAATGCAAAGGCTGCAAACGATTTCCACAGCAAAATGTTCAGATATTAAACCCAATCTGATTGAGCATCCCACATCTACCATGATATGTATATATTATTTTTAAACATCCGAGCTAAACTTTCAAATTTATATTGTTATTAAATGATTACTATATACATTTTTGTACAGTATCTTATTGTAGAGTATGCTGCTTTACAATGTCATGTGATGGTAGCATGGTGGTGGCATGACAGTGGCATGATTTGCATTTTTGGGTAAATCCAGGATTCTACTTGTTACAGTACAAAATGCTGCACATTAATTTTCTCCATAATTTCTTATATTTCTTAACAAAAAGTTATTCACATATCTTTGCGCATAAGGAGTTACTGAAAGACATCACACTCACCTCCACGACATGCTTGGATGAAAAATATTTTTGGTTTCCCAGTGAGAGTTGGACAGCCCTCTCCTGAGAAACACTTGAGTATATCGTCAACCTGAACCAGACGCTCATCCACAGTGTACAGAGCACCGTTGATACCATGCGTCAACACAGCAAAGATGAAGCAGTCATATTGCGAGTGATTCATTTTGCTATAGTCATTGATTTTCATATTAAAATCCTAAAAAAGACAGATAGCAATGTATGGGTTAGAAACAAAGAATATTGATGCCAATAGCAAAAGTCAACTAAACCCCTGTCCACACTATCAAGTATTTTGTGACAAATACAGGTGACGTGCCTATGGATGTGATATGACATCATCATGCTCATGGACAAATCACATATATTTGTCATTTAATACAGTGTGAAATGAGCTTTAAAATAAAAGATATTCTTTTTTGTGTTACGGTAAGAATATTGATTACAATAGCAAAAGTCAACTAAACCCCTGTCCACACTATCAAATATTATGTGAGAAATACAGGCGACATGCAATTGGTGTGATATGACATCATCATGCTCATGGGAAAATCACACATTGTCATTTGATACAGTGTAAACTGAGCTTTAAATTAACAGATATTTTTTTGAGTTAAGAATATTGATGCCAATAATAAAGTCAACTAAACCCTTGTCCACACTATCAACTTTTATGTGACAAATACAGGCGATGTGCCCATAGGTGTGATATGACATCATCATGCTCATGGGAAAATCACACATTGTCATTTAATACAGTGTTAACTGAGCTTCAAATTAAAAGATATTTTTTGAGTTAATAATAAATTTGTTGTTAAAGCATTTTGTTACCAATAGTTATTTATTAAAGATATATTGCCTATTAAAAAAAAAATATTTGGGAATACCTAAAAACTCCATCAAAAGTTAGAACTGCTAATTTAAAAGAATCAAATAAGTTATTACAGCAACTGCATATCAGAAATAGTTTTTGCTGATTCTTTTCTTTATCTGCATTACTTCTCTCCACCCGGGAGTGTAAATGGGTACCTGGTGGGGTTGCCTGCTCCTGCGCTGATTACCAGCAGCAACACTTAAAGCATGTGGACCCAACGATTAGGGAAAAGTGTGCTTTATAACCTCGAAGAAGAGGCGCATTATAAATGCCTATACCAGTACCAGTTAATACAGACATTTACCAATCGGTAGACTTGCCACAGGTCCCTTATTTTTTATTATTTTTCTCATTCTGGATAGCGCCACCAACAAGGAAGTTAATTTAGAGATGGAATAAGCGACTTGTAAAACACTAAATGGAGGTACCAGGATGCCAAAAGAATGACGTAATCTTATATTTCGTATTTGGATAAATGCGCTACCAAAATAAACAATTTCAACCAATCACAATGTTCACATTTTCGGATCCATGAATCTGAGTCACTCGTGTCGACTAGTTAGGCATGACTAAAAAAAGTCCTGTTTTAATTCAAGTAGGTAGGCAGAAGGGAGCTGGTCTAGCTTAGTCCTAGTATCTTCAATTTTGAAAATTTACCAAGATTAATTAATATGCATGAAGTAAGCCAATCACATGATTTACAAAATCAATCTTGCATACGATATCCCACACCAAATTTGATGTGGGAAATTGTACGCATGAATGATCAGGCAGCATTTGCCGAGGCCCTAATCCGAAAAAAAAAAAAAATAAATCGAGTATAGGACGCAAATTAAATTAGGTATGGTGCGCACTATGTGCAATAAAGATTGAGTAACCCAAAATTAGGGCCTGGAACCTAGGCTAACCAAGAGGCAATACACACCATACATGTCAACATCAATCAACACAGCATACACCCAACAGTGTGTCACACTTATAGCATCAGAAACAAAAAACAATATATATCCATGTATACAGATGGGTAAGAATTGTACTCAATCATTAATCCTCGTACCTCTAAAACAAGCAGCCATATAATAAAAAATAAAAACTCACATCATATTTCATATTTGTTATACTTTCAACAGAAAATCCTAAATTATCAAACAATGATTCCAGTTGGCGAGCATCAACATCAGTTCCTGTCCGTAACGGCATTGAACGGAAGTCCCGGTTGTTGACTATCAATGCTCTTCCCCTAGGCTTTCTTTTCATTTGATAGTTCTGCAGTATTGAGAAAACAATAGTAATAATATCTAAGTAATAATAATATAATGCTTGCCTTGTCAATCAATATGGATCCAATAACCATATTGTAAGACAGGATCCAGGCATGTATCCAGTGCGGGCACAGGGGGAATGCGCCCCCTCCCCACCCTGTTTTTCCGCTAAATTTTAAAATTTCAATGCATATCAATGTTATTATGTCAATTGAAATCAGCGATACTGTACTCACATATCTATTCTTAAAAATGTTGTACCCCTGTTACTACTTTAATACTATGGTTAGTTTTTCCACCAATTTGAGATGACCTTTGGGATCTGAAAATATGGGGTTACCTCAGTGTTTGGTCTCCAATTAGAGATTCAGCTATGTGCTAAAAGATTGATGTTTGTAATAGTTGGTACTTCTGAAAATGTAATCTCGAATTACAGTAATCTCACATTGGTTGGCAAACAGATTACTGGTGGAAGCATGCTAAAACAATATATCAACAATTTTTTTTATGAAATTCCATTGTGGTTAGAAGAAACGTTTGGAAGAGCAGAACAAAATCAGTTAAATTCTTTACAACTTCCAGGTTATCTACAGTGAGAAGATGCTCAAAACCCATATGGAAACAAAGGATTGAATGCATCGGAGGGGAAGGGGAAGGTGGAATACACCCATGTTCAGTCTGCATTCCCCTTTGCACACTTAAATTCTTCAACTGGTAAACATTTATAATAATAATGATATTCTGAAGACGAGTACCTGTGAATTATCAGTCATATCACTGGAATAACTTCCTTTGGAGACTTTCATTTTTAAAACCTCTTCTGCTGTCTTTACTGGCCATTCTAAAATAATAAAAGTAAAATCATGATTTATAGTTAGTTACAGGTAACTGAATTTGTTTTGATTTATTGTAGACCATTTCAAGATCCTAACATAGAAACCCATGGATGGAAGGAGATTTCACCCTTCCCTTAACATAGCAAAAAATCTTAATTTTTCTCTAAATTATGCATACATAATTAATGTGTCCACAATATGTAAATTATTGGCAATATAAAGTAGTTGATAAATAGTAGCTACAATTATCTATTTAATCATTCAACTTAAATCAATTAGTATTATATTATTAACATTTCTTTTGCAATTCTGCTTCTGAACTTTAATTAAATTATGTTATCATTTTAAAAGTTTTTTTTAATGAATGATACCTTGATATATATATGTACATATATATATACATTATATATATATATATATATATATATATATATATATATATATATATATATATATGTTATAATTAAAGCACACTATGACTATATCAAAATTATTTAATAAAATATAGTTATCATATTATAATTAGGTCAAAATTTGAGCTGTTGCCAAGCATACCGGCTGGTTGAGTAGGTTGTGAAGTTCCATACTCCATCGGTTTAATTCCACTTTGGGGTTGTACATGTTTAGTAGAAGATACATTACCATCCTCTGAGACTTGAGTTGGCAGCTTTTTATCCCCGGCCCCTTCTGTCACGCTTATCTGCACTGGTGGTTTGTCAGGTGTTTTCTTTTCATTGCTATAATCATACCAGCTTATGTCATGAATTTTATCTTCTGTGATGTCTGGTATTAGGAGTTCTGCCAAATGTCTCAAGTTTGATTCAAAAAGTGCCTCAGCTAGGGCCTGAAATGCTTTCGGTCCTTTACGAACTATATCGTTTAGTATTGCTGTGTTTCGACTAGACGGTCCTTTCATTTCCTATATTGTTTACAATAATAATAATAATAATAATATAATAAATTGGAGTATTTGTATGAATTAAAACAAAATAGAGTTGATATGCAAATTTAAAAACAATTTACACAGTAATAATGCTGAATGATTTATATACTGTAGCGCCAATTCCAAATCAATGATCAAATGCACTAAACGTGACATAATAATCAATAATACACTGTAGTGGTCATTTACATAGTGCATTTCGTCACAATGGCAATTGAGTTTAATCAATTACAAACCTCAAAGTGTTCTTGCTCCGTAGGTGTGAAGATCTGGCGAGCAACAAGGTGTGGGAGAACCTCCTCAGCTTTCATCTCCTCCATCAACTGAACTCGATTCTTTTGTAGAGTCTTCTTGTGTGCCTTATCCATGATGATGCAGCTCACTCTACAGTGTACAGTATGAAATATAAATATGAATGATTGATAAAATCAAGAAAGTTGACTTTCCTGACTAGACCTAGGCCCTACAATGGAGTAGGCCCATATCGGGGTGTACAGTAAGAATGGCCCCGGAAAAAATGGCCCCAGAAAAAAATGGCCATGGAAATAATGGCCCCAGAAATAATGGCCCTGGTAAAAATGGCCCCATATGACAGGTAGGTAAAAATGGCCCCAATAATCAAATTCTGAATTAAAACTGATTTTCTTGAGTCATTATATGCATTTTTTTATCTTTTAGTTTTTAAAAGGAATCTAACATCAAACAAATTGCCATTTACATTTTACTTTTTGCAAGAATTAATATTCAATGATAAAATATTCAAAGATAAATAAAAAGCCATGAATTACACTTTTTATTTTT